CGTTATCCTCACCCATGGTAACATATATATTTAAAGTACTGGTGAAGAGGTCTGATGTAAGAATTTTCTGCTTTCAGATTCTCTTTGACCAAAGCCCATTGTGCTTGTGATTATTCGTGGAATGTGCCCATTTTCAGGAATGTTTGTCATCATGCTAAATAGAAGATATACTTCAGACTCTGGATAAAGATTACACATTTTAAAAATTTATTTTGGTGAAAAATAGAAATCAAGTTAAAACCAAATGATGTGCAAGTTAAAAACAAAGAGGGGACATCCTGACTGAAATTAGGGAAGAAACATTTGGAGCTTGCTTGATAAGAGCCAAGCTCCCTGGGAAGCTTGTCTAACATTGATAATCTCATCCCGCATAAATCTTTTTATTGTGACCAATTAATTATATTTAATAAGTGTTTTGTACTTCTAAGATATAATCATTCCAAATATCAATAACATGTCAAACAGAAAAAAAATAATAATTTAAAACATCTTTTAAATATGTCTGTGTTTCAAGTTGCAATGTGAAATATTAATGTTTTCTCAAACAGGTAATCCAGAACTTATGTATGTTAAAATTTCATAATTACTTATATGATGATCATTCAATTGGGTGAAAAACATAACAACTTCCATTGGTTTTTGTAGGCAGTGTATGGGGTACTGCGGTCCATGGAGGGATTGGATGCTTTCAAGGACATGTGTACAAATACAAAAATTGGGCCCTGGTATGAGGCAACGAAGGCAGCAGTGGATAGCCATGCAGGAAAATCCCAGAACTCCATGCGGTGATCTATGCAGATACTGTATCATTAAATTAAAGCCCTTGTGACAGGGATTCCCTGTTGTTGTGAGAATGACTGTACAAAGTTTGTTCTTGGAGCATGGGAAACAACCATGTGAAAATATATAGAGACATCATTTAAACTGGAAAGCATTTTATGTGAAATGCATCACCCTTCTATAATGTGACTTTAAATAAGAACTTCATGTATTCTTTAAAAATAGAATTGTAAAAACAGAATTTGATGTGTATGTAGACAATTAATCTTATTCCACTTTATTTATTTGCCCACAATGGTTCCACCTGTCAGTTCATTTGTATCAAGTGCTGAGTAATGTTTGTGGTCAATTTTGTGTATTAAATGTATATTTAAAACCATTGGCAGCAAGGAAATTTGGTGAAAAGCATCAGACTTATTAACATTTCCTTCTAACAAAATTTTGCTGGCTTGCCATTGGTGGGTAGTATATGTACTATTTATATGCATCTTCGTTTCCGAGGAATGTTTACTCCAAATTTGTAAAGTTCTGAATCAACCCAATTCATCAGTAAACAGCAATTTTGTAATGAACATTATATCATAAAATAAATACTTTTCCACGTCGTGTCACAGGTTGGTTCTTATCTTTCACAAAGATCTATAATCTACTGGAAACCCAAGCTTTATACCATTATCAGCACAATTCCATGGTTTATAGCAAAGTCCAATGCTCATTTTCCGGATTTGGTTGGCAAAATCTTCAAAATGAATAAACCGTGGTCATGCTCTGCATTTCATTGAATTGATCTTTTGAAAGCAAAATTTTCAATCACAGCTAAGACTGATTTTCTTTTATTTCTTCACAATAAAACCAGACCTCATTTCTTGAGATCATTGACTACATAAAAACATCCAGTCAATTAAAATGCAACAAATGAACTTAATATTTACATTCAATTGTTTTCAACGTTATTTCAGCATTTTACATTTCTTGATTTAAAATGAGCTCACTCAAACTTCATAAACTACTTATTACTCACAATACAATAAGACTTTCCCTAATGGACAAAGCCAGACAATGGAAGAAATCAAACTTTCTGCCTGAGTTTAATCCAAATAACTCTTATGTACAATATATAATGGATGCTGACAGTGTATTAAAAACGGGTTTGTTTAAAACTAATTTTGATATCTTTCCCTTCTGGAACTCCAGGCTCAACTGTTATCAAGTGAAGCACACCTGGTTTCAAACAATCGCTCTTTGCAGAGATATCATCAGAATGAAGTATAGGTCTGCATTGCAACATCCAGTGGGAAAATTCTGTGCTATACAATGTCTTTTTTTTTTATTAAACAATTTAAAATCATCCTGGCTCCTTAACGTCCTTCGACTGAAAAACAAATGCAACAATTACTGTAAAAGAATCGATACAATAAACAATATTTCGAGCTTCAATTAATATAGCTTAAATTGTCATGCCTTGAAAAATAAAAGACAATTGCCATGGCAAATAGATTTCCAAACTGCATTTTGGCAATAACTCAATATTCATTACCTAATTTTGTTGTAGAAATCTAGCAGAACAAAAAGACACTTACTGTATGAAGAAAGGTCAATTTCATCAGGAAGTTCTGTAATGTTGACCTCAAATCTGTCTTGTACATCATTTAGAATCTTGGCATCACTTTCATCTGAGACAAGTGTGATAGCCAAACCTTTTGTACCAAAACGACCAGCTCTGGCCACCTGAAAAAAAATCAGAAACCATGCATCACACAGGCCAAAAAAGTATGTATAATCATTTTTCAACAGAAGCGGGTGATTAAAATACAAATGCAAATGATGCCCCCCCCCCCCCCCCCCCATACCTCAGCACGCTAGAACTTCGTAGTGTCTCAGTTGGTAGTGCATGTTTTGGTTTCATATGAGATCAAACGAAAGATGGTGGAATGAATCATCATTGACACTGGTAAATCATTTTATGTTTTGTTAGATAAATAAAATTCATACTACCGTACAAGGATAACATAGAAATAACAGGCAGAAGGGGCATGTGAACAACCAGTCCAAAACGGATTGAAAATAAAAAACGGCCATCCCTGAAAGCTGCTTACTCAAATGCATCCCTCTTATGTCCAAGTCCCACTTCAAACATTGTGAAATGACATTTGTGTACAATCAGTAAAATCAGTCTGTGATGAAACATCCAGTTTTGAATGACAGTGAAAGCTTACCCTGTGAAGGTAGGTATCAGAGTCTTCAGGCATGTCATAGTTGAACACAATATTGACTCTCTCAATGTCCATCCCTCTGCCAAACAGGTTGGTGGCCACCAGGATTCTCTTCTGAAAATCTTTGAACTGTTGATACCGTGACAGTCTGAAAAAATAACAAGCAATGGCAAACTTCAATAAATATTTTGGGGTTGTTATTGCCTAGAAATTGTATGACCATATCATAAATTACTCAGCTATTCTTAAAAAAATTAAAAAATAAAATTAAAAAACTCAATAGATTCAATTAAGGAAAGAGAAACAAAGTTGTTCCACTACTGATCAACAAATTAAGTCCGTATAGAGTTAATTTTTGCTGAAAGTCAATAAGGGCCTTGCACAACTGTCTAGCTTACCTCTCTTCCTGTGTCATAGCCCTGTGGATAGCAATAGCTGGGAAGTTCTGCTCCACTAGGAGAGCTGCCAGGGCCATGCACCTCTGGACAGACTTCACAAATATGATCACCTGGAATCAACCGGGATAGCATTAGAAACATTCCACAAATAATTATATCACGAGACATATTTGGACCAAAGTACATTCTCATATTAAATATTTCAGTGTCTCAGTTGGTAGTGCATGTTTTGGTTACATAATTCTTCAAACGAAAGATGGTGAAAAAAATCATCACTGACACTTGAAGAGCAATCTGTGAAAGCACAGTTAACAATGCTACAAACAAGAAATTTCATTTCACATACCTCAATGAATCCCTACTATTTCATTTTTATTCATTTGACTATTTCAACTGTGTTAATAAAGTTGACCACCCATTACAAATTATCGAGAAAAAAAGTACTTTTTTTTACTTTAAAAATTCAATAAAAATGGGTCAAGGTTGCTGTGAAGAGGTTAAACTCCTTGCACATGAGCCCCTGAAAACCTAGAAATTGGGTCCTTTTTAATAGGCCTAATGAAGGATGGAAAAATCTTCACCTGGTTGAACTCCAACAGATCCAAGAGTTCAAAGAGTTTCCTGTTCTTCTCACTTTCCTTCAGCTTGACGTAGTGTTGCTGCAGTCCGTGCAATGTCAGTTTGGAGTCGTCATCAACATACACTTCCATAGGCTGAAAGGAGAGGCAAAACAAGGCATGTCAGCATGCTGCCCCACCCATAAAACCAAGGGTGGGGAAATCGCATGAAAAACCGAAATACATGTACATTATGAACCAAATCATAAAAATATAAACTTATCATCTTGGTAATTTCTTTGAGGCCAAAAGTAATGAAAATGTGTAACACTACTTCATCTAGTTAATAACAATATTCTACTAAATAAGTTAAGAAAAAGGTCTTCTTCAAAGTGGTTGGTGGCAGTGGCAACTCCTCATCAGATGGCGGATACATACAGTCACCTTGTTTGGTCTGGCTTGGCCATCACATTATTGAACGGTAGCTAAGTAACCAGAGGAACATTTTATGGCAAGCTCCGACCTATGCCAGTGCTGCGGTTCTTCTGGGTAGGAAGACAAGAGCTTCTGGTGATCCTTATTTGGTGCACGCCACTAAAGGTATTGAACGAGAGGCTGAAGATTATGCACTTGCTATGACCCCGACGAAGTAGCTCTCTCTCCAAATTACCATAAGAACAATGTCCACATTTTGCTGCATATCAAGAACACGGTTGCTGGCTCTCTGCTGTAAATTTTGAGATTTTCGTATTCAAATGAAATTATCTTGAGCATGAAAAGCTCAAAAGAAAATTTAGATGTGCAAATTAAGCTGGAGGGAACTTTCCACGGTGGAAACCTATACTAATGGGTGCTGATAGCCCATCGCTTTGAGAGCTCAGGGTATCGTGCACCCAGCAAAAATTCCCTACACTAAGGGCAATGCGACTTCGTCAGCATCTTTGGCTTTGGCAATGAGAATATTTCACTGCATTGGAGTGTGATCCTTGGGTTTCAATTGTCTCTAAGCACAAGGACTCCTCTCACAGATTAAAAAGTCCTCCTAACATACAGAAGCATCTGTATGCATGATTCATGATCGGCTTAGATTTTGTAAAATTCTGACACAAAATAGCACCAAACATTATTTCGGAAAATTCAGCAGCAGAGAGCCTTGCGAAGATTTCATATGAAGTGGAACAACGCCTGAGTGTGGCACTTTTGTAGGCTTTCAATGACAAAAAACTAGCACGGGATAGAGAGGTATTCCTCTGCCATTTAGCTTGACAGCCGGAGACCTGGCATCTCCACATCTTTTACTGCTCAAAGGACTTATAAGGAGCGAGAAAGGACATTCCTCTGCTGTAAATGCAGAAGCGGGGGTGTTCCTCAGCCGGCAGTTGCCAAACCATGGAGACAGGTAGATGGAGATTTGGTGGACATATTTACATCTTGCATAAACTTCTTGCAGATGGGACGGACTTCCTTGCTGAGAGTGGCACTGAACATCATCACTTGCTTCTCGTGTGGTGTGTTTCTGAAGATATCTTGCACATCACGGCGCATGTCTGAAATGTAAAGGAATTTTCAATAAAGTGAACATATGAAAATAAATGAAAACATTTTTTTTACATAATTTAACATAAAACGCAGTAGAACTGAAGCATTTGCATAACCCAGTAGTCTTAAACAGACACATCACCAATGATTGCCAAAAAACAAATTTGTTCAATGAAGTTAACCCCACCAGGCATTCCTTTATCATATAACAAACCCACTTACCAAGCTGCTCCAACATCTTATCACACTCATCCAGAATAAAATGCTTGATGTGCTTCAGGTTCAGTGCCTTGCTGCGAATCAGGGCCAAAATACGTCCTGGGGTTCCAACCACAATGTGGGGGCAGTTCTTTTTCAGAACCTCTTCGTCCTTCTTGATGGGCATGCCACCAAAGAACACAGCGACCCGGATGTTGCTCATGTACTTGCTGAATCTCTCATACTCCTTGCTAATCTGGAAGGCTAGCTCTCTTGTATGACAGCCTACAAGTACTGAGACCTGAAAGGACAAGTTTAAAATTATGTTAACAAATCTTAACTATTTATCATCCTTAATACACATCAAGCAGTCAACAACGAGAAAAAAAAACTCTTTGACTCACCTTCCACAAATGTTACAGAAAAATTGAGAAGGTTAAAGAAAATACAAAATGTTTATGTTCACAAATCTTGGTTATTGGGTAAAATATTGGCAGATTCACCCCACAGCAAAGTACTAATCACCGTCCTTACCTGTCCGTCCACTGGTTCCAGCTGCTGAAGTGTAGCCAGCACAAACACGGCTGTCTTTCCCATACCAGACTTGGCCTGGCACAGGATGTCCATAGAAAGGATAGCTTGGGGAATGCACTCGTGCTGGACTGGAGATATAATGGAACAGTGTAAATTCTTTTGACACCTGACAGTAGAATTTGTCATAACTTTTAAGAAAACCTGACAATGCCATAAAATAAGTAAAATGAGGACTAGAAAAATTGCAACTTTAACAACCGAAAGGATACCTTGTATGAACAGTATTTTTCTTCACGTCTTAATCAATTGTCTGTATAGAACTTTAATCAAAATATACAGGAGCATACATAAAAGCAATTTAATGTAATTTGTTACAAAAATATCTGAAATAGATATAGCCACAATCTACCTGCAGAAGGATGTTCAAAACCACAGTCTACAATAGCTCTCAACAGTTCTGGTTTCAGTAAGAAATCCCTGAACCCAGAGCTGTGGATGGACACGTAGGTGCCCTTCACGTCTTTCTTCACAGGGGCATCACCGGCTGCCTCCGTGGTGGCGTCGGCCTCCTCTTCTTCGTAGTCCAACAATTCATTTTCCGCCTCTTCTGCCATATTCAGTGATTTTTTTTTTAGAAATTTTACTGAAATCAAACAGTTCACGACGTAAATAATCAAAAACCGAATATTTTATATTATGGTTACTAGTTATGATTTCGTTTTTGTTTTTGACAAAGCAAATTTCTTTGTTCGAACAAAATAAAACAAAGACAAGGGACAAGTCACAAAAGATCATTGAAGAATTTTACTACTAGAACTTCTTACTTGAAAAGAGTAAAACTGTTATAGCAGGTCAAACTATCCAGCAATCGTTACACACCACAAAATAATAAACTGCTGACAAGGGCAAAACTTTTTAGATTCACAAAGTCCAAAGGACCAGAGACATTTACCCAAAAAGGAACCATTAACTGCAAAATTTAAGGTCCCGTTTTAACTTCACTAAGTCTCCCTAAGCATAATTTACGTAATGCAATACGATAAAGAAACGTTTGTCTTTTGAAAAACACGATGATTGAGGATATACTTACTTGCCTGGGTTTCTTCTCAGTTAGCTCACAGCAAGATGGCGGTAATATTAGGGCACCGGTAAATGCTGACGTCATGAAAAGAGGTAAGCCCGCACTGGAAAAAAAAATTGAAAATGCAGTGTCATTAAGAATTTTAGACAGCCCCGTGATAATTTAATTAATTTTAATATGATTTTTTGTCAAAATATTGCAACAAATATTTTTTGAAGGTTTCAATAAATGCAAAGCTACGTCACTTCCTCTTCTTAACTAGGTCAATTTATCATGTGAGGATCCCCCAGTAAAAGAAAAGAAACAACACGAGATGAGCAGAAGGGAGACCAACGGCATTGATTTGAATGGGCAAAACGAGGCGGAACCCGACTTGACACTGGAGCAAGCCATTGAAGAATATGCTCATGGTATATGATGTTGGATATCTGCATTGTATTGCAAATAATGATTATTGTATAGCTAGGTTTTCTGTTTATTAGTGGTGATGAAGTGTGTCATTAATGATTATGAAAACTGTAAACTTGACTTATATTATTGCTACAAAACATTATTTTGAAACCAGAGTTTCACCAACTTTTGGGTTAAATATTCATATTGTATCATAAACCAACTGTGGTGCATTTTTGTGCTTGTACCAAAGAGATGAATGGTAAATGCAGATACATTTCGCTCAAAAATAAATGCACTTCTTTTTAACATCTGGGTTAACATCTAGACTAAATTCATATTTTCTTACAGAATATCAGAATATAAACAACACCCTTGACCAGTTAGACTCTTGTCTGGACAGTATCGAGCAGCAGAATGACCAACTTAATGTTAAAATGCTAGAACTGCTACAGTCCAATAGGCAACTAAGACAAGAATTGCAGACTGAGATTGTGGCAAAACAGCAAACAGAGACAGACATGGAAGCAGATTCCACTGAGCAAGACTGCTCTGTAGCAATAGACCAAAATGCTGGGGATGCTAACAAACAAGTGGACAGTTCAGAAAAAACTGAAGAAACATGAATAAAGTATGTGCAATATCTAAAGATAAAGATGGGGACAACATTCCATTAAGCTTTGTGGTCCTTGACTTGCATACTATACATGTACTACTTATTGATGTGTAATTAAGCATGTAGCATGTTCAACTGACATCAGCTCGTACAGAGCTCGTACATCAGCTCGTACAGAGCATCAGCTCGTACAGAGCTGATCTTGTTTAAATACCCCATATGCAGGGAATCATGCCACAGAATAGATTTAACATTGTCATGACAGCCGGTACACACATAGATCTTTGGTTTGCCAAGATGTATAAAAATTTATTGCAAGCTCACCCAGAACTGAACATTCCTCAGTGACAGATTTTGACATTGACAGCTGATATTCAATTCAGTGAACTGAGTTTACTCAAAATATGTGGTTTTGTCCAAGGCTGGTGGTCAATTGAAACAAATGTTTATCACCATGCAGTAAATCTACCAGTACTACATGTAGCATAGAAATTTCAGGGATGAGTGCAATACTGGATATTTACTATTAAACACTTAGAAGTGGTTATTAAGACCAGTTCTTGAACTTGAAACCAAATTTAATACTTCTCTTATGTGTCATAGCTTAGATTTTGTTGTCAAGTACTTATTTACACATGTACTTTACAAAAACCTTTTGAAAGTAAATTGATGCAATAGAGGCTTAGGTACAAGATTGTTTGCTATATAACTACTTGCTGAGAATGACAATTCTGGGACCAGTGCAGTATTGAGAAAATTATTTGCTGAAATCAATTTAGTGACATGCAGAACTTCAAAATGGAAATGCCAGCAGATTTCCTTTAGCACCAATATATAACAAAATTAAATCTGTGAGGTTTGGTGAGTCCATTTCCTTTTGTTTGTTGTTGTGAAGGGAATACTTAATATATTTTTGCCACTTGTGAAAGTTATATACATGAGATTTGGTCAGCATTTTCCTCCCCAGCCTTACAGAGAGGCCCCAAAAATGTTACGGCTAAGCCAGTCATACCAGTACTTTAAAAGACAGGAAAAATAAGGCAGATTTCTAAACTTAAATCTTGTTTTAAATTTATTAAACTCTGATATCAACAAACATACTGTTGTATGAAACAACTTAATCATGTTTTTTTGAAACCTTACCTATAATTTTGATCTATGAACTGTCAAGAGAAAAACAAAAACAGCCAAAGAAAAAATAATAATAAATAAAATAGCACGAGACCTTTGTGGATAAAGAATGTATTGGCTTCTAGCTTTGCAAATTAGACCCTTATGACATAACCTTTATGTACATTGTACAGTGCACCTTGCAACATATAAAATTTTAACTGTATAAAACTTCCCTTGTCACAGTACAATGTCATGTAACAACATTTCTGCATTCCATGTACAAGTTCTTTCACAATTTCTTAAGCAGACATCAGATCAAATGGAATGTCAAATATGCTTTCATTCACTGATTGCAGTTAAAATGAATTTACTCCTCAAGGCATGGCCCCAACACAATGCAAAGCAATAGCAGTAAAATGAATAATTGGCATTGCATGCCAAAATAAAATGAATTCAAAGTACTGTCACATGGACCGTTTTTTTTTTTTTTCATTTCTTTTTAGCTGATCATAACTGAAAGTATGTTTTAAATCAAATAAAACATCATTTCAGAGATGTACAGCAAATTTAAATAATGTAATTCATTATTTTTTTTACTACAAGATTTCAACAACAACAAAATCACTGCAGCATCCAATGAGCTAACAGAGAGGCAAGTATTTTGAAGTAAATATCCTGTTGGCTTATACTCCACTATTAGCATAAAAGCAAAATCCAGTTAAAATTTTGAATCCAGTTTTCATATTTTCTTCATATCAGAAGTCTTGTGAACTGAATCTCTTGCAAGTGTCACTACATGTTGTACTTGTACAAATGAAGCCTTCACAGGGTTTCTGTCCCATTCTCCAACTTGCAGCTTTTTGTTTCACTTATTGGTCACCAGTGCCTAATTTTCCGTTCTGCTCAGCCCCCATCTTCTTTCGCAGGCGATGATACTCTTGTAGCCTGTAACAGTACATGATCTAATGGTCAGTGAATAGTTTGATAAATTTTATATGTTTTAAAATCAATCCATTATTATTTTTTTTTCTTTGCTAGAACAAATTAGACTTGAAGTTAATGACCACTCAGCTTGTCGTAACAATTAATTTATCAAATTACACAGATGTATAGAGTTTCAGCAAAATGGTCAAAATCATTTGGATACAAGAATATTTTTCTTCAAAATGCATACATGAACATCCTCTCTGCATATAACTTATCATTAAAATAATGCCTAAAATTTTTAAAAAATTCAGAAAGAGAAATAGAGAGCTGGCCCAGTGACTGCCAGTGAATGAAATTAATGCAGCAGCTGTTATTTCACTCTTGTTGTTACCTAAGAGCATTAACTTTGATGAAGCCTCCAGCATCTATAGGGTCATAGTTGCCCTGGACATCCATGCTAAAATATGACAGAAACACATATAAATACGTATTCTACATGATATTTGGTAAACTTCAACCAATGCTGATAATTTTAAATAGTGACTCAGGGTTCTCTGTCATCAGCTTTATATATAATACTTTAGTTAGCCAGTGGATATCATTTGGTTTATTAATGAAATTTTAGATAGATGTGTAAAAAATGAATTTTATGACTATGAATCTCCTCATTTAGGGGCACCAAATTTAAGCAGAAGCACCTTATTCAATTGCCATGAAAAATACTACCAAGATGTAAAAACTTATAAATAAACACTGTATGTCAACAGTAGCCTCTGTACCTTACTAATTCCTCATTATAGAGGGAAAGTGGAGATTCGCGCCCTAGAATGTAAATGCCTCCTTTGTACAATGCTAGTGTTACTGTCCCCTCCACACACTCCTGACTCTTGTCTATACAGTGGCGGACAAATTCACATTCAGGGCTGTCCCAGAAGCCTGCAAAAATATACACCTCACACTTAACGTATACTATTCACAATGTTGGAGAGTTACATTGTTGCAATATGATTGTAAAAACTAAAGGTACACTTATAGCTGGACTCAATCTAAACAAAAAATATGAACTACTTAGCAAAATCCATTAATCAAATTCAAAAAGAAAATAATGCTATATAATACTTTGAACCTTACCTCTATACACCATATCTGAAAATTTGCTGCTTAGACTCTGTTTGATTTTTCGCAATTCCTAAAAATACAAAAATCAAAGTACATCATCTTCTGATTATAGTCCACACAGTAACAATTATTTTGTAGATAAATAGGTATAACATAAATTATTCACAAAATTCATTATTTGTAAGATAAAGTGGGCCTTGTTCAACAGCTAATAATGCACAACCTTTATTCCCCGAATGAACTGGTCAGCACAATTGCCACAATTAAAGCACCAAACATTATGAAAATCATCGGAATTCAACCAAGATTCTTGAATCCAAGTCATCCGACATCCTGCACAGGATACGAGAGGCTATCAACATCAGCCGTCACCAGCCACCCATGAATAGAGACACAGGGGCTGGGATCTACCTGACATTTATTAGAGGGTCCTGGCTGCTATACCACCTAGCTGTCAGTGAGTGTCAACATCTACTCAATATTTGGCACAGGAGCCATGATCTACTGACTCTAAAAATAAATAGATAATAAATAATTTGGTATCCCCCATGTTTACAACTGAAATATTTTAGAGAAATTTGCCTACCCTGTCCATTGTGAACACCTCAATGTCCATGTGGGCTTGGAATAGGATGGTCCCACCTGGGGTCTCATAGATCCCTAGAGAAAATCAATAATATTTTTATAAGACTGGTTATCAATAAACAAGCCATGCACTAGACTGTATATATGCACAAAGAAAAAAGTGCATTTACAGTTCTGAAGTACAAAATTAGAAAGAAAAAGAGAAGACTTGGTGATACAAGCACACCTAAATGATAACAGGTCAGCAATAATTTTGTCTGGCTGATTTTTTATTATTGTTATTTCATTTTTTGCTAATAATCATATTAAATATAAAAATTGAAAGTGTTAAGAGCAGTTGCTGAAAATGTAGCAGTAACATACCTCGAGATTTCATTCCTATGAATCTGTTCTCTACAATATCGATTCTTCCTATGCCATGACTTCCACTGAAAACACAAAAACATGCTTATAGAACTCCAAAAAGTCTTCAACATTTTAACAAGAAACACTGTCAGACCAATAGGCAATATTTTCCACATGAACTGAAAAGTATCATTTTAACTAAGTTACTTAAAAGTGCCCGAGTATTTTGGAGGAAGACCAAGTATTGGATTTCTATGTGCAGAGTTTATTGAAAGTTCAATCAGTAGTTTATTCTTCTCTATGGAAAGTCCATTTGAGGAAATGTTTCTATTATCCACAAAACCGACTTAGATACTTTTAACAGAAAATATTTATATAAGTCTTCATGAAAATATTCTATCACAGTTGACTATATTTCAGTTCCTCCTTCACCAAGGAAACCCATGCAATCATAAAGGTTAAGAAAACTAATATCACAAAAAAGGCAAGTGATATACAGTTTGTACAAACAGAAAAAGTATATTTAGTGTGTGCACTGACTGCCATAGTCTATCACTCTTTCCAGACTTAAATGAGCAGCATAAAGTTGTTTTAATACTGACAATCAATTCTCTGTCAAAGTAGTTTAGTTAAATACACTCAGGAGATCACTCTTAAGTACACATGTATTATATGCCCTAATAACAATAACATGACTAGAATTCAATGAAGTACAATAACAGATATCCAACAGTGTTTATCTACTACATATGCTTAAAGGGATAATAACTCTTCGTATGAGATCTATATTTCACAATAAAAACATTGTGAATAACTCACAGTTATAGCTATTATTCTGATATCTGAGCTTGTCTTTAGACCACGTGACCTCCATAGATGGCTATACTCTGTTATAATCTCTTAAGAGATTATAACAAAAAACCAAAATTTTTAGAAAAAAACCAGGGACTAAATTTGAATGTAAAAATGGATTCATTAACCATTGGTAAGTATGGGAAAATTGTTGTTTACTCCAGGAAAATTCATTTTTTGGCCAAAACAAAGAGTTATTATCCCTTTAAGTTTTACATACCCTACTTTGTTGAGATAAAGATATAATTCCAAGGCAGATGTAACCACTGTTCCATCCTCCAAGTTCTTTACTTTCACGGGCACACCTGTAATGGAGAAAAGTTTTGTCAACATCAACAGATAAACAAAGAGCAACTAATTAGGCAACTATTAGTAATTTGTGCAGTCTGAAAACTTTGAAGTGTTTGTGAATATAAATAGTATTTACGTATTACTTTAAAATAACTGTGTGCACATTACATTCATGTTTTTTCCAATAGATGGCTCTGGTAAATAGCATATGTCATGTGATTTTATAAATTTATAAATTCATTCAGATATAAAAGATGAAACTAATTAACTTCAGAAAGAGTTAGATTTGTTAATGTTGTCTTGCATGCTATGTTTTTGAATAAAAAAAAAATTGTGTTGTGATTAGGAAAAATCAAATTAATTTCAATAGAAGCATTTTGCCATATTTTACCACCTACATGTAACAATAAAAATATAATTATAAGGGATCAAAAGTTTACACATTTGGTGAGTTAACACCTTTAATTTGATGAAAATAATGAGATATTAGGAAATAAATGATATCTTTCAGACTTTTGATTCCTAGAAATGTATCTTTCAATTTAACAATAATTAGGAATTTTAGCCCTTGGAAATTTTACCATGTTTGAAGTCAATCTCAAGTCTCAATGGCTGTTCAGGAGCATCCTTAGGGTCCGTTGTCATGAGATACAGGTCTTTTGGAGCTTCAGCTTTTGGATCCTCTAAAATTCCTGACTCAAAACTAAAATGAGAGGTTAATGACATGACATAAGGTGTCTATATTCACTTTTTATTTGTTTATTTAATACTGACCATTTTTTTTTGGGGGGGGGGGGTAAAACATTCAGTTGAAATAAATATTCAGTCAGATTAATGAAGTCATCAGGTCTGCAAACATTAAAATATTTCTATGTGTCTATTTTTTTTACTTAAAAATACTTTTTCAATAAATTAATAAAATTTTCAGATTTCTCCTACCAAACTGAAAAATTAATCTTCTGGCAATAAGCTATTTATTTCCACATTGTATTAACTCCTAACTGACTTGCCTGATGTGCATAAGATTAGCATCCATACTCCAAGGAGATTTGGGAGTGACAGGGAGGGGGATATTGTTTTCCTGCAGAAAGAAGTGCTTAAAGATCATTCATAATTTCACTATGCAGACTACAAATTATCACTTGGTGGTAAATGTAGTAATCAACAATGAAATAAAATGAAATTAAATTTTAAGACTGGACTACATTCAAAACTTTGAAAAAAATATTAGTAGTTCCTAAAATAAATACCTTGGCAAACTCAAACAGGTCCTGGCGCCCTCTGAATTTCTCATAGAACTCTGGCATTCTCCAAGGAGCAATTACCTGGAATAGAAATTTTAACAAAATTATTTTATTAGTACCAGTAATTTGTTATCATCTCTTGGGGCCTGTTTTTCAGTCTTGAAAGACTGGCATGTACCAGAAAATTAAGACTGTTAGTTTTAGTTACATATAACTGAATGATCACTAAAACAGGCAGTACGACAGAGCATAGTGCTCTGTAACTTAGGCTATACTTGTTTATAGTCACATACTGATTTCCAATCATTGTTTGATAAGATTGACTTTAAATTGTTTACACTTGTTCATGAAGCACATAGCTAAACGGTTACATATGACAATATTAGTAAAATTGTTGTCTTAATTTATATGTAATTATGTTTTCTTAAATAATAATATTAACATACCTTAACCTGTGGGTAGAGAGCATAGCAGGAAAGTTCAAAGCGTATCTGGTCATTGCCTTTGCCAGTTGCACCATGGGCTATGTACCCAGCCCCCTCCTCCTTACACACCTTCACCATACCTCTGGTATTATAACAACATAGAGACGTATATTAAATAATCGCAAAGCATTTTGATTACTACATACAAACTCAATTTCAGTATATTGTGTGAAATGAAAAAGTGGTATTCAAATTGAAAGTTAAATTTCTTTCACAAATAATGTTTAGTACTAAAATTATCATTTTATTAAGTTTATTTTATTATAAGTTTTATTTTATATAAGTTTTTGGATATTACATATTTGTTAAAACAAATGAATAACAAGAAAACATAACAAAAGCTAAAATTATGAAACATTAATTTGTCATCATAATCATCTAAAAATCTAAATTTTTAAGAAATAAATACTATAGTTTCTACCTGGCAATACAAGGTCTGGCAAAGCTTGTGCCCATAAGGTAACGATCTTCATACACAGCGTTTGCCTGAACTCCTGGCCAGATAAACTCCTCCACAAACTCCCTACGCACATCCAAGCAAACAAACTGGAATATAAAACATGCATTATACATGTAAGAAAAAACACTTTGACAACTGCAATTTACTTCACAAATTTATTCATTACTCTGTCAGCTAAAGCAATGTAAAAATGTTTACATTAATCCATATACCTGTACACGATTTTTGACCCGTTTAAATTGGAACATATATATGTCTAACAAAAAAAAAAAAAAAAAATGATGTCTTCTCAGTAGCAGGGTTTTCTCCAGAACTTGGGGTACAGGGAATCCAAAATGTGAATCTGTAATTTGGTCATCAATTTACAAGGAGTCTAACCAAAACAAGCCCAACCAAAAAAACCAACATTTCCCCAAAATTGTCTTAATTTGAAAGTACAGGTAATTGTCTTTTGAGGGCTAAAGGCTGCAAAATAATGGCTGGACAGATCTCTATGGAAGGCCTTGCTTGAAACAAAAAGAGCCCTCACCTTTTTGGCCCCAAGCATCATTGCTTTCTTCTCAGCTGCCTCAAAATCTTCATCCTGTCCAACATTAGCCTGTAATACACCAATGCAAAGACCTCACTGTATTTGCATCTTAACATTTTGTATTTATTCTACTTGCACAGGAAGAGCACTCCATGGCTACTTCCTATATGTTATTTGACAGACCTGCTTTTTTTGTCATATGTTAGAAATATCATTTAAATCAACTGAACTCGATTATTGTGTAAAAGACAGCTGCTGTAGAAGTGTGGTGTTACATATATACAGACAATTAAGTGGCCATATGCCCACATGGGAGTTCAGTATCCTCTATTGAAGGTGACACATGTATGGCCACCGTGACAACTATGATATGTAATTATAAATGTACTAACCATATAGGTAACAACTTCAAATCCTCTTTGTTTCAGCCATACTAATATACAGGATGTATCCAACCCACCACTGTAGGCTAACACCACAATCTTGTTCTCTGACATCTCTGAAGAAATTGTCCTTAGAAAAGTGATTGATCTGAAAAAAAAAAGGGGAAAAAAGGCATGAACTGACAAACTTTTACTTTTTGTCTATTATTGCAAACAAAGTAAAGGCCCTTCAGTTCAATAAATTGGTGATTTTCGTTGATATTTGACAGTGTACAAAAAGACCAATCATGCAGGCATAATGCTTACATGACCATATTTCATATCAGCCATTTAATTTTTGCCAATTCAATGATAGACTGTTAAGAAAAATGGGGAGAAATATTGAACCTACATCTCACCTTAATAGTTATTATCTTCACTTTTGATCAATATTATCAAAATTCCAATTTAACCTACATGTAATTCACTGTATTCATGCAGTTGCCAAACTTTATTAATTTTTAGCCAGAATACAGACTTCTTGATAACTTTATAATCTTGATACTTGGAGGCATACCTTTATATATATATATATATATATTGAACCGGGCCCATTTTGTCATGGTTAAGACCAATCATGTAAAAAAACAAGATGTCATCTTTCCTGCTAAATGTAATGCTGTTCTTAATACCTGTCCAACAGGCAATGAAAGAACAACCATTTTACTTAATTGACACAATACAGGATCATTTCCCTGTTATCAAAGATTCATTCAAAAGCAAGATAATATCAACACACATAATGAACACAACATCTTTTTTGTTTGTTTGCTTGTTCTTTACCAGTTATGATAAACAGCATGCGGTCATAATACAAACTGGAATGGAATCACCACATGAGCACTAGATGACCTGTTAGATAACCTTGGTTGAACTTCAGACAAAGAGGACCTTACGGTCTCACTGTCTGATCGCAGACATTGGAATCTCTTCATGCATAGCACTAACAGGGGATCGAAGGAGGAACAATACCTATACACATATAATTTATAAATGACTACAGTTACATCCTGTCAAAGTCAAACAGTTTGACAAATTAAGTACAGAGAATACAGAAATTGTTTTTGGTAATTTATTTTCCTCTATTTTCTTTTCAGTTGCTTGATTTGAAACTACAAAAATAAAATTAATAAAAAAAAAAAACTCAGGCAGCAACATGACCTATTTAAGAGTGAGTGTTAAGCCAATAAATCTAAAAATTCATTGATTTTCATGACCAAAACATTTTGACTACGCATAAGTAAACATGAATATGTAACAGTATGTTATATGGTCCTATTATTATACATGCTTTTAACAAAGTTTAAGTCAGCCAAATTCAGTGTGTATCGAAAGGCTCACCAAATTGGAGCACAATAAGTAAGCTCAGCAACTGTGCTTTACTTCCTGAGCATATTTGGGACAAAAAAGCCAAGGTATGATAATTACCCCGTTCACATATTTTCTATGTGTGAAAAAAGATCGAGCTAATATGTCAGGGATATCAATGAATTCAAAATACTCTCATCTTGGTATTTCAACCCTCTTGATGTGGGCCTACTTTCACCTGAACAGGTACAGATGTAAAAGATTGTATAAGTGTACATAGAAACAATATTCTCCCTATCCAGGTCACACGAAAGGTTTGCTTTCTACACCAATAATATTAATCAAAAACAACAAAACATGGAAAGGGCTTGGAGGGACAGAATCTTTATCAATGACTGATCCTATTGTCACCCCTTCTTCAGTATACTTACCAGCCTGTACTGTAGCTTGCTTTATATACAGGATGGCCTAATTATTCAGTGAAGTTTCAATGAATGAATATTATAGAAATAAAAGGCATTTACTAGGCATTAATCCAGTGTAGTGTGAGCTGATATTAAAGTGCACCAGGTCAACTTTAGTCTGTGCCAAATACTATTAAATAAGCAGGGCATCCGGGCCACTAGGGTCTCAGAATTTTCTCACTGGCCCAAACCAAAATTCACTGGACCTAGTCAAATTAAAAAAAAAAAATTAAATTGTCACAATGAGATTAAACAGGCTTCCTTTTATAAGTAAGAACAAAAACATGGGGTTTTCAAAAAATTAGGCCAGTGGATGACTTTTTTAGAAATTTCACCAGCCTAGTCCAATTTTTACAGGTATTGACATTTGGGCCAGTGGTTAACTTCACAGACTGCAAACAAAAAAAAAAAAATGTTGGTTTCTAGTGCATGTGCTGAGCCAAATTGTACACAACAAATGTATATATGTATTCTACTGAAAAAAAAAAATGAAACTGATCAATATATTCAAAATTATTTTCAAAATTTTATTTGAAGTTAAAAACAAATTTGAAAAATATGAAGACNTGCTTTATATACAGGATGGCCTAATTATTCAGTGAAGTTTCAATGAATGAATATTATAGAAATAAAAGGCATTTACTAGGCATTAATCCAGTGTAGTGTGAGCTGATATTAAAGTGCACCAGGTCAACTTTAGTCTGTGCCAAATACTATTAAATAAGCAGGGCATCCGGGCCACTAGGGTCTCAGAATTTTCTCACTGGCCCAAACCAAAATTCACTGGACCTAGTCAAATTAAAAAAAAAAATTAAATTATCCCAATGAGATTAAACAGGCTTCCTTTTATAAGTAAGAACAAAAACATGGGGTTTTCAAAAAATTAGGCCAGTGGATGACTTTTTTTTTAGAAATTTCGCCAGCCCAGTCCAATTTTTACAGGCATTGACATTTGGGCCAGTGGTTAACTTCACAGACTGCAACTTAAAAAAAATGTTGGTTTCTAGTGCATGTGCTGAGCCAAATTGTACACAACAAATGTATATATGTATTCTACTGAAAAAAAAAATGACACTGACCAATATATTCAAAATTATTTTCAAAATTTTATTTGAAGTTAAAAACAAATTTGAAAGATATGAAGACTAGGGTACTGGGTACTATATAGACCTAGGTATAATTTTTATGGCAATTTTTTTTTTTTTCAATTCTAAACAAATTAAGCCACCAGTATTACCTCAGTATGGATATTTCTAACTTCGTTGTTTTGAAATAAAACTTGAATGATCAAAGTCAAAATGTGCTACTTATAAATCGTCAGACATACCCATTTTGGCAAGACACGTGCATACGATGCATACCAATTACCCCTGTAGGCAGTGTGACGTATACCTGTTTTAAAGTATCTGAAGCAAGGGGCTGCATAAATAAATAAATATGTTTCAGTGCTAGTTGTTCTACACAAAACGCAGTAACCAAACGTACAGGGTCACTCAAACAATCACCCAGTATTCTCCTTCTCTAGCATCAGCATCCTTGTTTTAAAATATTAATTATTACGCCATTATGAACTAGGCTGATGTGAATAACAAAACGTGCACGGATATAACACACTGACATTCCACAGAGATGAATGAACAGTGTAGAAAGTAGCACATAAGTGAGATCAAGCAAAATATGTCAATCAATATATGTACGACTAACCTTAAAATGTACAACTAAGCAAGCGCTAGACCACCTTAAAACGTACTGCCGCACGCTTCGAGCTTCTTCAAGGAAATGTGTCCTCTAGTCGGCTGATTGCATCAGCTATCCCAGTATTGCGTCAGAAATCTTAGGCCGCATACAGCATCGCCGACGTTTAGTTCTCCCACTGTATCCTTACGGGAAAAAAACTCACTCGACTGTAGGCCTATTACTGTATCCGATATCCAACCAGTTTATATCCCATCGATTGCGTCAGCTGAATTGCGTCAGAAATCGGTCGGCTGTGTTTGTTTTTCCACAAATAATAGGGCCTATAATAGGCCTACCTACACTTTTTCACGTCCCTACAAGGTGTCGCATGCCCGTGGAACTATTATTAAGACTTACATGTGTGTGTTAATTTTTCATTAATCTTTTTCATCCTCAAGGCAATGTAGGCTATAAAGGGCAGAGGGCAAGAACAATATGAGCATCGTGGTAACACACGGAGACTGCGGGGATGGGGGGGGGGGGGGGGGGGGTTTCTCCCCCAACCCCACCCCCCCCCGTTTTTTTTTAAAAAAAATTTTTTTGGGGGT